AGAAAAAGATGTTCTTTCTTTACAACTGTCTGCATAGCTTATTCATATTGTGTAATGAATGAAAATAAATAGGCCTACTAGGCTCCTCTCTACTTTGACATTTAAGATTAGCTGTTTGATCCACCTTCATACACATGTGACATTACTGTACAACTTGAGAAAGGTGAGTTGTTTTCTGCTCCAGCCTGCCTAAAAGAAAAGCGTTTTTGGGATTAAATGGACTTTATTAGCTGCTGCAGTGCAGGATGAACTCAGAATAGACCCATTTCTCACCTTATTATTCTAAATCATGCAACGAAGAAGAAGAAATGCATAATAAATCCTGGGACAAAATCTGTCCACAAATACTGTACAGCATGTAGTCTGGACAAGACTTGTGTTATAGCTGACTTGGGCAGACTTTGGCCACAACTCAAATCAGAATATAAGAAGAAATGTTTTATACCACCTCAAGAAGGCTTCCTATCAGAAAGTAGGAAGGTATTTCAAATGTACAACTGCAGTACTTAAATCTAAGTAAAGTAATTTCCCTGACATTACTGTGTTACGCATGTAACAGGTTTTATACTTCCTGTGAGTATAATCCAATCAATCTTATTTTCATACTGTATATCCGTTGTGTAATTTGATAAATTGTGTTGTATGTGGTGCTCGCATCGGGTACTACTGAGACTTCATTGCCCTCTTCAGAGAAGACTCTGACATGCGTCTTTGTAAAGAGAGAAACGGACAGAAAAAGTCTCTAACTCTGCCTGTCAGCTCGCTCTGCTCCGTTAAAACTGAATTTACCATACAGAATTGAATACGAGTGCACTCCAGATTTAGCTGCAGCCAGCTGACCGTGTGCTTCTCCCTATACCGCAGTTCTGTGTCCATGCATGCAGCAAACTGAAAGCACTGTCTGTCGGAGCGTCTACGTGAAAAGAGAAGGAAGACATTGCTGGTAGTATTGTCTTCAGAGTTGTTAAACACCTCAGCGCACTGAAGGAAGCCATCTGACTGTGTGAGGGGCAAGATCGTTGATGTCTGCAGGCAGAGTAGGAGCTCTCCTGTCTGACTGGTCCACCAATAGCAGAGAAGATGACCCCTTGAGACACAGCCCCTCCTCATTTGCATAATGAGGCAGAAATGCATACAAAAATTTAAAAAGACAGGCAGAAATAAATACCATGGGTGAAAATAAATAAGGTAAATAAATACAAAGGAAGAATAAAACAGACAAAAATATTAAAACACACACATAAATAAATACATTAAAAAAATTAGTAATAAATAAAGTTGAATAAACAAATAAGGTAATTATAACAAAGGTGAATAGTAAAGGCACTAATTAAAATATATACATTTATGTCTCCTTGTATAATTTAATTACTACCTACATTTATTTATTTACTTTATTTTTTTTGTGTATTTAATTGGATGCTTATTTATTTATTGAGCATTTATTTATTTCTGTATTTATTTCTGACTGTGTCAGGATCGGTCCTCCATAGGGGGTGGGAGAGTTATCAAGCACGTAAAGTTTGGTTCAGATGTGAGCATGTACACTGAAGTTACAACAACTTCCTGTGTCATGGCGAAGACTTGATCTCTGACGCCACGCCACGGACACCCCATTGACGAAAACTCGCAAATAGCACAACTTTTCATCTTCAATGCCTTTAGAAGGCACAGCACAAATTTGAAGTCGGTCGGACTAAATCCCTAGGAGGAGTTCGTTAAAGTACGAAGTGTGTAAATCATCCAAAATTTGACGTAAAATTCAAAATGGCCGACTTCCTGTTGGGTTTAGGCATGGCTCCAAGAGACTTTTTTGTGCGTCTGGACAAGATACACGTACCACAGAAAATTCGTGCACGTAGGTGAAACGTGCGGCGGGGGCTGCTTCGTTAAAAGTCACTTCCTGTTGCCAGCAGGTGGCGCTATGACTGTGGGTGAATGTCAGCATGTACATGTGTTCAGGGCGGGACTCTCATCCTACATGTACAGTTTGGTCCAGATGTGAGCATGTACACTGAAGCTACGACAACTTCCGTGTCATGGCGAAGAGTTGATCTTTGACGCCACGCCACGGACACGCCCATTGACGAAAACTTGCAAATAGCACAACTTTTCATCTTCAATGCCTTTAGAAGGCACAGCAGAAATTTGAGGTCGGTCGGACTAAATCCCTAGGAGGAGTTCGTTAAAGTACGAAGTGTGTAAATCATCCAAAATTTGACGTAAAATTCAAAATGGCCGACTTCCTGTTGGGTTTAGGCTATGGCTCCAAGAGACTTTTTTGTGCGTCTGGACAAGATACACGTACCACAGAAAATTCGTGCACGTAGGTGAAACATGCGGCGGGGGCTGCTTCGTTAAAGGTCACTTTATATTGCCAGCAGGTGGCGCTATGACTGTGGGTGAATGTCGGCATGTACATGTGTTCAGGGCGGGACTCTCATCCTAGATGTACAGTTTGGTCCAGATGTGAGCATGTACACTGAAGTTACAACAACTTCCTGTTTCATAGCGAATCATCGATGCCACGGACACGCCCCTTTTCATCTTCAATGCCTTTAGAAGGCACAGCAGAAATTTGATGTCAATCCGACAAAATCCCTAGGAGGAGTTCGTTAAAGTACGAAGTGTGTAAATCATCCAAAAATGGCCGTAAAATTCAAAATGGCCGACTTCCTGTTGACTTTAGGCTATGGGTTCTTGAGGCTTTTTTGTGCGTCTTGATATGATACATGTCCCCAGAAAATTTCGTACATGTAGGTTGAACGTGAACGAGGGGCTAATTTTTTCCAATGTTCTAGGTGGCGCTAGCGATTCATTTTGCAACGCCCATGTGCGAAACTTGTAGAATACGAAATTTTTCACCGGTTCTGACAAGTTTGCAAATTTTGGTGAGTTTTCGAGAATGTTTAGGCCATGTCAGTTGAGCCTACTTTGCAAAAAAAAAAAAATAAATAAATAAATAATAATAATCCGAGCAAATTCAATAGGGACCTCGCACGGTCGTGCTCGGGCCCTAATAATCTTAGGAAATTCAATAGGGACCTCACACGGTCGTGCTCGGGCCCTAAATATATAATCTGAGCAAATTCAATAGGGACCTCGCACGGTCGTGCTCGGGCCCAAATAATAATACAATTTGAAAAGCCTATCACATTTAATAAATAAAATGCAGCTCAATGACCTATAGGAGGAAAAAGGGTAAAGTAAAAGGTGTAAAAGACAAGGTGATGATTCAGTTAGATACATGGACTAACAAGTTAGCAACAGCAAATGAGACAGGTGAATCACCAAGCAGCTCTCAGTCATTGTTGAGGAGTCAGTCCCCATAATCTAAACAGGTGATCTGAATGATCCTCTCTTGAGCCAAAATTAATGGGATAAAGGAAAATTAAATAGCAGCAAATACATATGAATGAGGGACTGCTACAAAATCAAGTTCCAACATTTAGTTCTTGTTCTGTTTTCTTTCTGTTCTCATTTTGGCCTCAGTTTTTCTGCCTCTCCTCTCTCTCTTCACTCTGTGATCACACATTGCTCTCTACTCCACAGCTCTGTCATCTGGAACAGAGTGTTATGTAACTTGTGTACTTAACTGTAAAACATCTGTTTTTTTTGAGTTGTGCTGACAACATAAACCAGCCATGGTGTATTCAGGTAAACCACACAGAATGTCTTCATTAACTTCTTTTGCTCTTAGTAAGTGCCTTCTCTTTTTTCCCATTCTTGCTCTCTCTATGTACCCAGATTATTTCTGCATCTTAGTGTAGGATTAACGTAACAAAATTAAGAGCCTTCAGCCATACTAGTTCTGTCTGGCTGTAACTCAGTACTAACATCAACATGCTCATACGCTTACAATGACACTTTTTTAAAAGATATTTTTGGGGCATTTTTCAGCCTTTACTTGATACAGTCCCTGATAATAGTCCGTGTGTGCAGGCGTGTAGCACTAAACTGCTGGCCATCAGCTACACTACGGCTCAGCTGGCAACCACTGCTGCCAGGTACAGAGTACATAGTCCAGCAACAGATATGCTATGAGTTCTGACAATCTGAAAAGTCTTGAATTCAATTCAATTTTATTTATATAGTGCCAAATCACAACAACAGTTATCTCACAGCGCTTTTCATAAAAGAGCAGGTCTAGACCGTACTCTGTGATGATATTTACAGAAGCCCAACAGTTCCCACCAAGAGCAAGCACTAAGCGACAGAGGCAAGGAAAAACTTCCTTTTAAGAGGCAGAAACCTCGAGCAGAACCATGGCTCAGGGTGGCCGGCCATCTGCCTCGACCGGTTGGGGGTGAAAGAGAGAGAGAGAGAGGGAGGGAGAGAGAGAGGGAGAGAGAGAAAAAGAGAGGGATGTAAGGAGAGAGAGAGGGGAGGGAGGCAGCCTACACAATATACACACAGAGGTACAGACAGATACTAAAAATTACTTCTACCTCATGTGACCACTTGTCCACTGGGAATACAACTCTGGTATTTTGTTAAGAGATTGACAGCGCTGTTTTGTCTCGATAGATCAATGAAAGAGGATAGTGGACGGCTTTTTATAGACACTGGAATTACTCAAACTTTTCATACAGTGATAAATCCTAAAGGAAACATATCGTTCATTCCGAAAACGTTGCAAACGTTTAAGATTGAACTCGCCCCTACTAGCCAATCAGAAGCAGAGTAGGGTGGGTCCTGAAAAGACAGTAAACATGGCTTCGGTTCAGCTGTACATGTTCCCAGACCAGTTTTCTGTGGCAGATGGGAACTTTCTTTAGGGTGGACTTTGGACTTTTTCAATTTGCAAACCTATTACATGCACAAAAAAGAGATATAACACAATAAAGGAGAGGGAAGAAGGCAAGAAGCATAATATGACCTCTTTAACCCTCAGATAACATTAAAGCCTTGAATATTATTAAAAGCTGCAGATACCACATTAATACATTAAATTTGTTTAGTTTTTAAATTGTCATTGTCTTTGCACTCTTCCACTCCAGTCATGGCGTCCACTCCGGACAATAAATCCACTCGTCCAGTCAGTGCCCCCATTATGTCACCAATGTCTCCTGAGGAGGCTACCCCGTCACCACTGCTACACACCCTGCTTCGCTCTGACGGTTCCACACCCAAAGGCCACCGATCTGCAGACAGGAAGGCAGAGGTAAAGGCGGAAGGTCAGCCAGCCAAGTACACCAAGAGCCACAGTCCCAGACCAGAGTCCACTCCGGAAATCAAGGTAGTGTATACTTCAGGTGACTATCAGTGTATGTGTTTTTGGTACCATCAAGCTTTGACTCTGTTCATTATTGAACAAAAAAGGAGAGGATACAGGGGACCTATAATTAATATAGTTATTAATAAAGAAAGTGAGTTTTTGGTAGACAGTCCCACTGGTCATATTCATAATTAAATGATGAAAGTATACATTTATCCTTGTGCCATATGTTTACAGGAAATCAAATTGCACCCTGCCCCATTGTAGTGACTGAGTTAGTAAGCCCTATAATTAAAGAAAACTCTAGGTAATAATAGATCAATACTCAGAGCCACTTACTCTAAGGTATGAATATAAATAGTGAGATGAAATGTACTGTTTGATATATAGGACAAGGTTTTAGCCCTGGTTATGCTTGGAATTTTTCCTGATGTGTGAGCTTTGTCTGTGCAACCAGACAGTGGCCAGGAGAGAGCGGAGGCACTCCCCATCTGTGACCACTGCCAATGGGGCAAGAGAGAGTCAGGTTTGTTTGCTTGATGCATGATCAGACTGAACTTGGTTTAAATAACTAAATGATTCAATATATATGAATATATCAGTATAATCACTGTATGCAAGAAAGCAAGAACCTTAGGCAAAATATGGATACAAAACAGCATGTACTGATAGTCTTTTAGGGTAAAAAAAATGAGAAAAGAGAAAAAGTAAAGTAGACTACATTAAGAAAAGAAAAAAAAAAAGATTGATGCTTTATAATATGGCTCGCAATTAAATTCCTCCCAAATGCCAGATTGTTGCTCAGTTGGTCATAATGTTCCTTGTAATATTAGCTTTGGTACCAGTTAGTTTAACAGTGGCCTTTAATCAGGCTTACATTTGAAAAAAGCCATATAAACATTTTGTTCCCTAATATATTTCATCATAGCGAGCAATCATCATAGAAGAAGTCTCCCTGTTTTCTGATTTTCTCCTGTTTTAATTTGTTGATAATGCAAACTCAACTTCCCCCACGTTTATCTGTTGTCTTTTCACAGCAGTAGTTCCAGCAGTACAACAACAGAGTCGTGTCATACTCACTAAATTGCAAATTATTTCCAGTTTCTTTTATTTTGCCACTGTTAAGCCATCATTGACCATTTTCTGCAGATTTTTTTACATTAAAAGCCTACCAGTCCCTTGAATCCCTTGCCTTGAAGTAGTCGGCAATATGGATAAAATCCACTATTATGATAAATGTAGTTGTACTGTATTGTATCAGTATAAATCGAGATATAATACATTTATCATAAATAAAACTACTTGGTTAGATTTAGGAAAAGATCATGGTTTGGGTTAAAATAACTATGTTACTCACGTCAGTTAACTTATGTAAGTTAAAGGTTCAGTGTGTTTTAGTGGCATCTAGTGTTGAGGGTTGTGAATTGCAGCCAACTGTCCAGTCTACCACTGCCCCATACCTTTTCAAAGAGCATAGGACATCTGCGGTTGCTGACACAGCACAAAAGGTGTCATCTTCTGAGACAGCAGAATGTAGTTTTCAGCAGCCAATAGCGGTGTGGTTTTAAGATTGCAACAAGGTGTGTGCTCGTACGCGTGCTTGCTTAAACTCATGAGCGAGCATAATCCAAACACAACCACTTTCAAACAGAAATCCTGCATTAAACGCAGAGACACCGGCATGCAGGCTGTGGCTTTTCACACAGACTCAGATTCTGTTACTTCTTGGCTCAGAGGCAGATCAACACTGGCGCCGTACTTTCATTCAGCACAGCGAGACACCGGCATATTGGCACAGTACTCCCAAAAAAGGGCAGAGTGACAGCAGCTATAGAGACATACAGACAGGGCGACAGCTTCACACAACATGCTGGAAACTCAGGTAAAATCCCACTGCAACGTTACAGTAATGTTTTTATCAGCTTGAAGTTGAACCAATCAAGACAGTAAGGCAATGAAAATTTGATTTATTAATAATTTATTTCATTGAAAAACTTACATATAGCCCCTTTAAGTAGATATATTAAAAAATTATATTTACTTAATTATTTAGTCAAACCATATGTTATTGTGACTTGGCCACTGACAGATAACATGGAAAATGTAAGCAAAGAGTGTGAAACATTGTCACTGCTTCTGAACCACAGTCCATTATAAACCACATAATTTTCAATTCAGTTCAATTCAATTTTATTTATATAGCACCAAATCACAACAACAGTTATCTCACAGCGCTTTTCATAAAAGAGCAAGTCTAGACCGTACTCTGTGATGCTATTTACAGAAGCCCAACAGTTCCCACCAAGAGCAAGCACTAGGCGACAGAGGCAAGGAAAAACTTCCTTTTAAGAGGCAGAAACCTTGAGCAGAACCATGGCTCAGGGTGGGCGGCCATCTGCCTCGACCGGTTGGGGTGAAGGAGAGAGAGAGAGAGCGAGAGAGAGAGGGAGAGGGCAGGAGAGGAACAGAGAGAAAAAGAGAGGGATGGAAGGAGAGAGAGAGGGGAGGGAGGCAGCCTACACAATATACACACACAGAGGTACAGACAGTAAAGGTGATGTTGCTATAGACTAAATGAAAAATGGTACAGATTTTTATAGTAGTGTTAATGGTAACAGTCGTAATGTTAATGATTATAATAACAATAGTTGTTGCAGCAGAGGTTGTCGAGCAGGAACACGGGGGCAGCAGGTGACACGCAGCCACAGATCCAGACTCCACAGCTCCAGAGCCAGAAAACCTGCAGGAAGTGATAGGAGGAGAGAGGAGAGGGACGAGAAAGCACAAGACTACCAGAAAGGGGAGAAGTTGTGTTAGTAACATGCAATAATGGGATGAGGTTGCATACAGAGGGAGAGAAAGTAGAGGAGAGTCCCGGCAGTCTAGGCCTATAGCAGCATAACTAAGGGATGGTTCAGGACTCACCTGAGCCAGCCCTAACTATAAGCTTTATCAAAGAGGAAAGTCTTAAGCCTACTCTTAAATGTGGACATGGTGTCTGCCTCCTGAACCCAAACTGTAACCTGGTTCCACAGGAGAGGAACTCCAACATTCCTCACAGTGTTGCTGGAGGCCAGGGCGATGCCATCAAGGGAAACTATATCTTTAGATAATGCGTCACGGAGGTGCTTAGGCCCCAGAACAATAACTTCAGTTTTATCTGAGTTTAACATTAGAAAATTACAGGTCATCCAGGTTTTAACATCCTGAAGGCACATTTGAAGTTTAGCTAACTGATGGGTTTCATCTGGTTTGATCGATAGATATAACTGAGTATCATCTGCATAACAATGAAAGCTTATGGAATATTTCCTGATAATATTGCCTAAAGGAAGCATATATAAAGTGAAGAGGATTGGTCCGAGGACAGATCCTTGAGGAACTCCATGACTAACTTTGGCATGCATGGAGGACTCATCGTTAACATGTACAAACTGAAATCGATCTGATAAATAGGACTTAAACCAGCTTAGAGCGGTTCCTTTAATGCCAATGAAATGTTCCAGTCTCTCCAATAGGATCTGATGGTCAATGGTATCAAATGCAGCACTAAGATCTTGTAAAACCAGTACAGAGACAAGTCCTTTGTCTGATGCAATAAGGAGGTCGTTAGTAATTTTCACCAGTGCTCTGACTGTGCTATGAGCTCTAAATCCTGACTGAAAATCCTCAAATAAACTATTGCTCTGTAGAAAGTCACACAGCTGTTTAGCAACTGCTTTCTCCAGAACCTTAGAGAGAAATGGAAGGTTAGATATAGGTCAGAAGAGGTTTAATTAAAGCTACTTTAAAGTACTGTGGTACATAGCCTGTTGATAAAGATAGATTGATCATATCTAGTATAGAAGTGCTGACTAAGGGTAAAACATCTTTAAGCAACCTAGTCGGGATGGGGTCTAAGAGGCAGGTTGATGGTTTAGATGAAGAAATTATTGAAGTTAGTTGGTAAAGATTGAGGGAAGCAAAACAGTCTAAACATATATCTGGTTCTACAGCTGTTTCTAAGGTTCCTGAGTTAAGAGATAAGTTGGTGCCAGCTGAGGGCAGGTCTTGGTGAATTTTGTCTCTAATAGCTAGAATTTTATCATTAAAGAAGCTCGTGAAGTCGTAACTACTGAGAGCTATGGGAATACTTGGCTCAATAGAGTGGTGACTCTCTGTCAGCTTGGCTACAGTGCTGAAAAGAAACCTGGGGTTGTTCCTATTTTCCTCTATTAATGACGAGTAGTACGCTGCTCTGGCATTACGGAGGGCCTTCCTATAAGTTTTAAGACTATCTTGCCAAATTAAACGAGAATTTTCCACTTTGGTGGAACGTCAATTCCTCTCAAGTTTCCGCGATATTTGCTTTAATTTGCGATTTTCAGTATTATACCATGGAGCTAACCGTCTTTGTTTTAGTATTTTCTTTTTTAGAGGGACTACAGAGTTGAGTGTCATTCGCAGCGAGCCTGCGGCACTAACAACAAGATGATCGATTTGGGAGGGACTGAAATTAGCATAGGAGTCCTCCGTTACTTTGTGACTTGATAATGAATTTAGAGCTGATGGAATCGCATCCTTAAATTTAGCTACAACACTATCAGACAGACATCTTGTATAGAAATTTTTGCCCAATGGCGTGTAGTTCAGCGATACAAACTCAAAAGTTATCAAACAGTGGTCGGACAAAGAGGGATTCTGTGGGAACACCACTAAATGTTCAATTAATAAATAATAGATAAAGTCAAATAATAGATAAAGTTTATACAAACATTGACAAGGGAAACACATTCATTCTCTCTGTGATCATGGACCATCGCCAAAACTGCCCACCAACAATAATATCTGGCCCACTTCCAGATTATGGCGCTTTGATAGTGGCAAAAAATATAAATAAATAAATACTTTGATAGCGGTGCTGAAATAGATCTCAGTCATGACAGCAACAGTTACTCACATAATCACTTCATCTTTAGTGGTTTTACCTACAAAATAAAAGCGCAAGAAGCTTGTTTACTGTAATTATTTATTTGGAGTTGAACTGAGAGCTTTTACTTTGAAAAATTCTGAACAACATTAAAAGAGTCTGTGGCCTGCTTGACACACCTCTGAAAGAGCCGTCAGAAAACGGGATTCCCCTAAATGTTTTCTGCCTGGAGATACTTGGGAAATGAAAAAGCATCTGTAGGTTGATGGATGCGGATCAAACACCGGAACACACACTACAGCACATGCCGTAATGCGAGAAACAGTTGCTGCAGAATCAATTTGTCGAAGAAAGAAAAATAAATCACCCAGAGATGGGATCAAACATGCAATCTTCAAGGTGAGAGTCCGGCACTTTACCAACTGAGCTAACACTGTAACAAGGGCTTCAAATATAATGCTTTATATTCTCACCCACCATCTAATGGTTGAAAAAATTGATCCAATGCAAAACTTGTTTGCCAACCCCTGCTGTATATTATTACTACTACTTCTTCTTCTTCAAACAAACTTACATATTCAACGTTGTGATGAGCTCTACACTGCCAGAATTCTGCAAGAAGAAGAAGAATGTATTGACGAAACGCGCTCTATAGCGCTGTTTGTCTGTTTTCAGGTACTGTAGATGAATCACGGTGCAACATGGCGATGTCCATGGGATGGACGTTATGTAGATAGAAATGGCTCATTCTATGGTATGGTAAAAAATTCATTATACACCACTGAATATATATTTATGGATTTTATATTGCATTTCTGTCAATAGATCCTCAGAAATTTTACACACTGAACTTTTAAGTAACGTAACGTACACAACTTACGTAACCTAAATAAAAAAATCCAATGTTGACTTTTTTGTTTCACATGAGAATTGAACACCAGTCTCCTTGGTGAAAGCCCAGTTTCCCTAACCACCTGCTTACTTGGACTTTGGGGCTCCCCAGTGTGTTACAAACTGACGCCAACAGGTCTTGACCATGCATTCATATGTGACGACTTGGGAGTGAGAACAGTTGGTCCGTCAGAGCCTGTGCCCAGCAGGGAACAGGCTGTGAGTGTTCTCCACAGGAATGCAAAAGTGATAACAGCCTGTCTGATGGCTATACTTGATTCTCTTATATTTCAATGATGATGAACAAAATTCTTTGTATTTTAACAATGATTAGAATAAATAATCAATAATGATCAGTTTCAAAATATTTCCAAAAATGTTGTTTAATTATTATTTCTTATACATTTAATGTTATATTAATTAATTTATGAGTCATTTATTTATTTATTTTAGATTTTGGCTGTTTAGGTCATCCACATGATCAGTTATTAGCAATACTGCAAACAATGGCAGCCAGAGATATTAAAATTGTGTGACTGCTGACCGATGTATATAATCTCTCATGGTAGCATCATTTAACCCACTCCTATTTCCTAGAAAGCTTTTAATGTGAAACTTCTGCAGGAAGTGATGTGTTTCACTGACAATAACACAACACCCACCAAAAGAATGGCAAGTAGAATTTACTGGAATTAATTTGTGAAAAATTAAACCACTATTTCTCCTCAAAAGAGAATTGCTAGAGTGATGTGAAAATGTCAATTATGCTAAATTTATCATGAGCAATTATAGTACATATATTAAGTTATTCTTTTTAGGTAATAGGAATAGTGGCTTTTATTTGAGAATTTATGGTACATTTTATCCCAGTATAATCGAGATGGTGAAGGTGTATAAATCTATTGTTATTCATAGTGTCACTGTCACAGGAAGTATTACATAACTTGAACATCTTTAATGCATGTGTTTTTGACTGTATTACAAATGGTTTGTTTCTGAGTTAAACTGAAACTGAACCTACATACAGTAACTATATGTTTCCTCTGATGGGGGAGCAGCACTCTCCTCAGGACAAAACAAAGACGGAGATGGTGCGAGTGAGGAAGGTTAGCATACTCCTGAGCCAGTGCTCCTGCTGATTCACCATCCTCATCCCTGCATCAGTTACACATGAAGATACATTTAATTTGCTTTTCTGTTGTTTAACAGTGCTGTTTTCCATTGCAAAGACACCAAGTGCTTTAATCTTTAGATTGTTTTATTATTTCTGGCTGCTTGTCTTTCTGTAAAGGCTTACAAATACCCTATCAGCTGGACAAGAACTTGCAGTTGGACCAAGGAGAAATCAATCCATCAAGTTTTAATTTGGTCACTGTCATTTCCTGCAGCTGTTTGACCAAACAATGTTTGTTGTATAAAACTTGGTTTCTCCTTCTCCAGAAGCAAACATCGGCTATACAGTGGAAACCATTTATAGTGATCCTATGTTTCTGAGTCAAATTCACTATAAGCGGATTATTATAACCAAAAATAATTTTTTAATTTCTAATGCAGAGACCATCTTATTGACTTTTGTATATTTATTGCATGAATATAAAGGAATGAAATGGAAACTTTTGACTATTTCAAAATACAGTACAGCTGTTTCAAATGCTTTTTAAATTACTGTACAAATTAAATGACCATATTGTGTATAATTCAAATACACTATAAAGTAATACAGTACATTTTATAAAACATAGCTTATTGTAATTCAAATTATAATTAGGCTATACTCTAAAACAATGTTGTGCTGTTTACAAATACAGTAACGTCAGGCTACTAAGCCACAGCTTGGTGGTGGTTTCACTGCATTTCTAAATATTTCTAAGAGGCTGTTTTAACTGTGAACTGTTTTATTCTGCATGAAAAGATTTAAAATGAACAATTGTAAGTGGACTGCTTGATTACTACAAGCAAATTATTTAAAAGCATTTGTATTGCTTTTTGATCCTAGTTTTAGACACAATGAAACCCATGTTTACGGCATCAGAAAAGGATTACAACATGACTTTAACGCTCTCTGGACATGAGTCCATAATGCTTTGAGTGAACACGAATGCTCTGCTGCTATCTTGACAAAATAGCTGATAGTCACCTGAAGCAACTTTAATCTCAGACTTTTTCCCCAACACTGACCAAATTACTTTTTTAGTTTTCAGTAATGGACACACTGCACAATGACACAGATTTCAATGATAAGCTTAACACAGCTAATACAGTTCCCCTTCGAGGGAACTCTATGGGAACGCCTCTGGGCATGGCAGGGCTGAACTATGAATGAAACTACTCCAATCCTATTGGTGTTACTAGAACGGTAGTGTGTGACGGCGTAACCGGAGGGGGTATATAAGCACGCCGGCACATAGGACACATTAGCTTCTTTCTATTCAGCTGGCACTCTGGCTATGTTTGGAAGCTCCATTATCCTACCTGACATCGAGACGAAGCAGCAGATCATGTCGAAGCGATTCTTTCGAAGCGTGTCTTTCCATGTGAGCGTTTCATCACGGAGGGTGATACCCATGGGATGTGCGTCTCATGCCTGGGGATGTCGCATGCTCAGGCGGCTCTCGAGGGGGCTGCCTGCGACCATTGCGAGGCCCTGCCCCTGAGGGTGCTGAGGTCTCGAGCGGCTCACTTCCTAGAGGATGGTCGGATGCGCTCCCCTCGTGGCACAGGCCCCGCTGTCGCTGAGGCGTCGCGGCGGCTCCGATCCTGGGGATCACAACGCGAGATCGCCGAGGGTGCCTTGTCAGAACCGACAATACGGCAGTAGTGGCCTATTTGAATCACCAGGGGAAACTGCGCTCGCGCCCATTATGCAAACTGGCACATCGGATCCTCCTGTGGTCCCAGCAGAGACTGCTGTCCCTCAGAGCAATGTACATCCCTGGGACCCAGAATCAAGGAGCATACCTGCTGTCGAGACAGGGGCTGAGGTCCGGGGAATGGAGACTCCACCCCGAGGTGGTGGAGTTATTATGTGAAGAGTTCGGCCCCATAGACGTGGACTTGTTTGCCTCACGAGAGACGGCGCACTGTCCCCTGTGGTTCTCCCTATCACCCCCAGCCCCGCTAGGGCTGGATGCCATGGTACAGACATGGCAGAGGCTGCGTCTGTATGCGTTTCCCCCAGTCGCTCTGCTCCTGGGGGCTCTGGAGCGGGTCCGCCAGGACAGCGTCAGTCTACTACTAGTAGCCCCGTTTTGGCCGGCACGAGTATGGTTCTCGGATTTAATATCGCTCCTCGAGGGCCCGCCCTGGCAGGTCCTTCTGAGGAGAGACCTGCTGTCCCAGGCAGAGGGCCGGATCTTTCACCCGCACCCCGCCCTGTGGCAGCTATGGGTCTGGCCCCTGAGGGGGCGCAGTTCTTAGAGGCGGGCCTGATGACAGGAGCAGTCGAGACGCTGCTCAGCTCCAGAGCCCCATCCACGAGAAGGATGTACAGCCTAAAGTGGAATGTGTTCACCACCTGGTGCAGAGAATGGGCGGTGGACCCAGTTAGTGCGTAGTTCCTCCAGCACCGTTTCTCCGCTGGCATCTCCCCGTCCACGCTCAAAGTATATGTGGCTGCCAGTGCAGCATTCCACGCCCCTCTGAGTGATGAGCCCTTGGGGAGGCTTCCGCTGGTCGTGCGCTTCCTCCGTGGAGCCCGGAGGATGAGACCCGTGACTCGTTCCAGGGTTCCCACCTGGGACCTGGCAGTGGTTCTCGAAGCGCTGGCTGAGGCCCCCTTCGAACCCCTGGAGTCGGCTGAGGGGAAGGTCAGGGCCATCCTGCACCCTTGTCCAGGTTATGTCCCTAAGGACGGGAGACTTCATCTGCTCTGCCCTGTCAGAGCACTGAGTATTTACACTCTGAGGTCTTCCCGGTGGAGGAAAGCAGACCAGTTGCTGGTGTGTTTCGGGTCCCCCAAGGCTGGGCTCCCCGCTTCTAAACACACCATCAGCAACTGGATCGTTCAGACTATTTCCTTGGCCTATCAGGTGCGCCTTCACCTATGGCCGTAAGGGCGCACTCTACTCGAGGCATGGCGGCTACTAGGGCCCTCCTCGCAGGGGCGTCACTCCAGGATTTGTGCCTTCTGCACCCGGCACCCGTGCGCTCTCCTCCTAGTCATGCCGTCAGGTTCTGCACGCTGGGGGCAGGCGGGGTTTCGGTGCGGCCTAAGTGGGTATCTCGTTCCCATAGTGTCGTCACCGACACAGTTTGAGTTCCCTCGAAGGGGAACGTCTCGGGTTACGTATGTAACCCTTGTTCCCCGAGAAGGGGAACGAGACACTGCATCGGTCCGCCACACCTCACCCCGCCTGGAGTGCCTTGCTTCATAGAAAGGGCTAATGTGTCCTATGTGCCAGCGTGCTTATATACCCCCTCCGGTTACGCCGTCACACGCTACCGTTCTAGTAACACCAATAGGATTGGAGTAGTTTCATTGATAGTTCAGCCCTGCCACGCCCAGAGGCGTTCCCATAGTGTCGTCACCGACGCAGTGTCTCGTTCCCCTTCTCGGGGAACAAGGGTTACATGCGTAACCTGAGACGATAGATACATAGAATTGACAGATATTTCCCCGAGCTGAAAGAGAGTTAATACTGGACTTAAGTTGACCAGGTGGCCAAAAACACTACACCAAGGAATGCAATTGTTGCTCTGTAAGTGCTGTATGTGTGTATAAGATACTGTTTAACAAATCATCAAGTTCATATTGCGAACTTGGCAAAGTTAGCAGGTATACACCTGGTCAGATGATGGTGGTCTCTAACACTGGTCTCTTACACTGGTTTCAGATTTGTTCACCACAACCCCAGGTGCAGGTAGTTTGCGCAAACCATAGACCAAGCAGAAACTACTGTGTTACAGAGACTGTGTTAGCTACCCAACGAGGTGCCTGATGTAAAAACACTCAATTCAGCACTGAACAAATCCTGCACCACAAACACAGTAACAATAGGGAATTTACAACAGCCGCCCCCAGAATAGCCTAGCTATTATGTAAAGACTACTAAATTCCCGAAGGTGCTGATGGAGTCCCTGGACTGGTTCCGCCGTCATCTGAAATGGCAGGCAGCTGGACCAGATGTGCTACCGTAGGTAGGTCTTCTCCCCGACTTGGACCTCGGCCGACCGGACACAACCATCTGCACTCTCGATCACCTTGACGACCTTCCCGATGGGCCACTGCGCTCTCGGAAGCTGGGGATTGATAATCATGGCAACCGTGCTCTGGGTGATGTCATCAGTGGGCCGCCGCCACTTCTGCCGGACTTGTAGGGAAGAAAGGTAATGTCTAAGGAACTGAGCCCAGAAGTGGTCCGCCATCATCTGACAGTGGCGCCAACGTCGTCTTGTGAGGGTGTCAGGAGCGTATGACACTTGTGGTAAGGAGGCGTCCCTCCGCCGCATCAGCAGCATGTTAGGCGTCACTGGATCAGGAACAGCTATGTCTGACGATACATAACCTAAGGGCTTTGTATTGAGGATGCCCTCGACTTCGATCAGAAGGGTGAGAAGGACATCTTCATAGAGGGATTGTGTGCCAACAACCACTTGGAGAGCTTTCTTGACGGACTGTATTTCACTCTCCCAAGCTCCGCCGAAGTGAGGCGCTGCTGGTGGGTTGAGCTGGAATTTAATCTGGTTCTTGGCGAGTCTCTCTTTTAGATCTGGGCCCATAGCTGCAAAGGCCTCTTTAAGCTCCCTCTCAGCCCCTCGGAAATTAGTCCCTTGGTCTGAGAGTATCTCGGCGGGGGTTCCTCTTCGTGCTATGAACCTTCTCAGCGCCAAGAGGAAAGTGTCTGTGTCGAGGCCTGCCAGCAGGTCTAGGTGGACACAGCGTGTCGTGATGCACTTTAAAATCACTCCCCATCGCTTCTCGTTCCGGCATCCAACTTTGATGACGTATGGACCGAAACAGTCAACTCCTGTGGAGTAGAAGGGGGGCTTTAGGAGTCGCAGGCGGGCAGGAGGAAGATCTGCCATCATGGGGACCGAAGGCTTTCCTCTCCTTTTGGGGCACTCCAGGCAGGTTCTCTGATATTTCTTCACGGCCTGTCTCCCACGT